CGCCCAGCACGCTCACACAACACACCCAGCACACTCACACAACACGCCCAGCACACACACACAACACACCCAGCACACTCACACAACACGCCCAGCACACTCAATGACACACCCAGCACGCTCACACGACGCGCACAGCACACTCAATGACACGCCCAGCACACTCACACGACACACCCAGCACACTCACACAACACGCCCAGCACACTCACACAACACGCCCAGCACACTCAATGACACACCCAGCACACTCACACAACACGCCCAGCACACTCAATGACACACCCAGCACACTCACACAACACGCCCAGCACACTCAATGACACGCCCAGCTCACTCACATGACAGTGTTTTTTCAAACCCTACATATGCCTGCACAAGAGACTGCCCATCCCACCCACAGAGGTGGCTGCACACACTCCTACGTGTGTCCACGGGAGGCTGCCTGCAAGTCTAGATAAAAGGCCTTTTCTGCTCTCGCCGGTTTGGCTCAGCGGATAGAGCGTCAGCCTGTGGACAGAAGCGTCCTGGGTTCGATTCCAGTCAAGGGCACGTACCTCAGTTGCAGGATCCTCTCCGGCCCGGGCCCTCGTCGGGGTGTGTGCAGGAGGCAACCAGTCGATGTGTTTCTCTCTGCCTTTCCCGCTCCCACTCTCCCTAAGAATCAGTGGGAAAAAGCCCTTGGTGGGGACTAACCACATAAATAATAAGGAAAGGCCTCCCGTTGCTGAGCACTGGTGCTGAACAGAGGGCCAGACGCAGAATGGGTGATCTCTGACGTGCGGTTTTGTTTTGTTTTTAATTGATTTCAGAGAGGACGGGAGAGGGAGAGAGATAGAAACATCAATGATGAGAGAGAATCGTTGGTCTGCTGCCTCCCGCACGCCCCCTGTGCCCTGGCCTGTGCCCTGACTGGGAATGGAGCCCTGACCTCCGGGTTCATAGGTCATCTCTGACTTTTTTTGATCAGTCTAAATGGCTTTGGGCTGAACGGTGCAGGACCATGGACAGCTCTGCCCCTGCTTCTCCCTCTGTGATCAGTTCACCTGAGCAAAAACAGCTCCTGCTCACAGCCAGTCACAGGCACTAAAAGTTATAATCATAATAACGGCTTTCCTTTCTGAGAGCTATTCTGCGCCAGTCACAGCCGGTTCTTTGTAGGAATCATCCCTTTGGCCCCAGGATGCAGGTGTTATTCTCACTCTGCAATTGCCAGGATGCAGGTGTTATTCTCACTCTGCAATTGACAAAACTGAAGTTCATAAAGCTCAACACTGTCCCTGAGCTTGTCTTAAAAAACAGAAGCAAGGGCACCTAACGCCAGGGGCTCCTGTTGGATTGCACATATTTCCTGACAATAACTCCACCAGACAGCTTCTCCCTGGAAGCAGGGGGGAGAGATGGACATGTGCCGTCCAGCCGGTGTGGCTCAGCGGTCGAGCATCAACCCAGGAAGCAGGAGGTCACCAGTTCAATTCCCTGGGCTTGATTCTCTCTCATCATTGATATTTCTATCTCTCTCTTCCTCTCTGACATCAATAAAAAAATATATTTTTTGAAACGATAAATGTTCACCAATATTCAGGACCACACGCCTTAAACTTCCAAAGCAGAGTTCCAAAGGTGCTTGGAAAATGTGACGTGCTGGGGACACCTGTCAGACTTTCCCGGTGGCCTGCGCCGAAGGTCACACCAGCAGGTGGCTCCTCCGGGGGACCCGCGCCCTTTCTCCTGTCGGTTGATCGTCACCTTGAGCCCTGAAAGGGGAAAGAACAGGGTGGTTGGTAACGTGGCTGTGTCTTCCGCTTGGAGGCAGGAGACCGGCTGGCCTCTGGCTCTACCTTGGCCACCTGTGTGACCCAGGACCTGGCCCCTTTGAGGCTGTTTGTTCACAGAGGGTACCGGTGTGCCCACTTGGGGTTCTGGCTAAAGGAGAGGACTTGCCCTGTCCGGTGTGGCTCAGTGGATAGAGCGTGGGCCTGCGGACTGAAAGGCCCAGGTTTGATTCGCAGGCAGGGCACACGCCGGGTTGCTGGCTGGATCCCCAGTGTGGAGTGTGCGGGAGGCAGCCGATCCAGGATTCTCTCTCATCATGGATGCTTCTCTCTCTCTCTCTCTCCTTTCCTCTCTGAAGTCAATGAAAATATTTTTAAAAATTAACCGTGGACCTGAACTCAGCCGAAGAAAGAAAGCAAGGTGCCCTCAGAAAAAAGATCTTCCCCATCGCAGCCAGAGCGGCAGCGAGGCCAGAGGAAGACTTCTCCTGCGACCCTCCGGCTCCGTGCCGGCTCCGCAATTCCCCAGAGCGCGGCCTGGACCAGGCCTTCATCCTTCCTCCGGAAGCCAGCAGGTCCTGGTCTGCGAGCAGCACGCCAGCCTCGGGAGGGGCGGGGCCCCGGGAGGGCGGGCGATGGCAGGAACAGCCAGGCTAAGGAGTGCAGAGAGCAGCGGCCCCTGAGGGAGCTCCTAATGAGCACGGACGGGTTCAGCTGTTATATCAGCAAAAGCACACACTCCCGGCTCCGGAGAGCGACCGGCAGGTGAAGAGCAGCCCGAACACGGTGCTGAGCCATTTCCTGGGTCCCCTGGGCGCCCACAGCAGGTCCTGGAACGTGGGGAGTTAGGGCAGGTGCAGAGCCTGAAACCTTCCCTTAAGCTGTGGACGATCGAGGCGAACCCCGCCATCCCACGTGGTCGTAGGGGCAGGTTTCCAGCTGGCATCGGCCCTGCATGTAATTCGTGATCGAGCTGCAAATAAGAACACAAAGCAAGGCCCATCCCCAGGTGTGGCAGTGACTTTAACACAGACACGGCCCATTGAATATTAATTAGAATGTGGTCCCACCGCAGCTTCCGGTCCGAGTAGCCGGAAGCACCGCCTCCAGGACGTGCCAGTGCTGCTCGCTGCTTACCGAGTGCACCGCGGCCTCGATGCTTACCGAGCCCACGGCGGCCTCCCCGCTTACCGAGCGCACGGCGGCCTCGATGCTTACCGAGCCCACGGCGGCCTCCCCGCTTACCGAGCGCACGGCGGCCTCGATGCTTACGGAGCGCACCGCGGCCTCGATGCTTACCGAGCGCACCGCGGCCTCGATGCTTACCGAGCGCACCGCGGCCTCGATGCTTACCGAGCGCACCGCGGCCTAGATGCTTACGGAGCGCACAGCGGCCTAGATGCTTACCGAGCGCACCGCGGCCTAGATGCTTACCGAGCGCACCGCGGCCTAGATGCTTACCGAGCGCACCGCGGCCTAGATGCTTACGGAGCGCACAGCGGCCTAGATGCTTACGGAGCGCACAGCGGCCTAGATGCTTACGGAGCACACCGCGGCCTAGATGCTTACGGAGCGCACAGCGGCCTAGATGCTTACGGAGCGCACAGCGGCCTAGATGCTTACCGAGCGCACCGCGGCCTAGATGCTTACGGAGCGCACAGCGGCCTAGATGCTTACGGAGCACACCGCGGCCTAGATGCTTACCGAGCGCACAGCGGCCTCGATGCTTACCGAGCGCACCGCGGCCTCGATGCTTACCGAGCGCACAGCGGCCTAGATGCTTACCGAGCGCACCGCGGCCTAGATGCTTACCGAGCGCACAGCGGCCTAGATGCTTACCGAGCGCACCGCGGCCTAGATGCTTACCGAGCGCACAGCGGCCTCGATGCTTACGGAGCGCACAGCGGCCTAGATGCTTACCGAGCGCACCGCGGTGCACCGCGGCCTCCCGGCTTACCGAGCGCACGGCGGCTGCTGCAAACACAGCGTGGGCCGCAGGTGAGACCTAGAAGTTCCTAACTCTCAAACGTACGGAGGCCCTTGGAGGTCATCTAACTGAGTTTTCTGTTTTATGAGGAAACTGAGGCTCAGAGAAATGAGACCCCCATTTAAAATATCAAACTGCCGTGTGCCTGAGCCAGAATAAGACCCCTGGCACGGCCCTGGCCGCTGGCCTCCCTGACCAGGGCTGCACCACCTGGCGGCTGGCTCCCCTGTGGCCTGGGCTGACCTGAGCAAGAGGCATCTGGGGAGGCCTGTCTGCGCTGGATCTCAGGTGCCTCCAGCGCCCAACGCCAGGCCAGGATGTCACTCAGGGGATGGCTTTGCTCCGCCAGGAGCTGATGAAATAGGGACCCTATTGTGTAGGTCACTGACCCTCAACGCAAATGGGAAGCCTCCGCTGTTACCCAGGCCTAGCTGCACCCCCCGGCAGGGATGAGAATGGTCCCCAATAGCTCCTCTGTGATCCCAGCCATACTGCACCCCCTTTGCCGATGGCTAATACGCAACCCCCAAGTTCACAGAAAGAATGGCCTGCGAGTCTATGAAGCGAGGGGAGGGGTACTTTTACCCATTAGCCCGACCCCCAGAATGGGGCCTGTCTGCTTGGCGCTCGGGGAGACCCAGGGCGGGAGCAGCAGCCCTGCCTGAAAGGACCCGCGGGGCGGAGAGCGGAGAGCAGGGCTGTTCTCCGGGTCCAGCACTCGGCCGCAGGTGCCCGGCTGAGGAAGCCTGTTCTTTCTTTCCCGCCCCTTCTTCCCAGGGGTCAGAGGTCGGCTCTGTGAGAGCTGTGAGCCTGGCGTGGGGACCAAGTCCCATGTGGATGCTGCTTTTGGCTGAGGCAGGAGATTGGATCCAAAGATAACAGGGGACTCCTTACCCCTTACCTCTCAGCCGTCTTCTTCGCTCCCTCCTTCTTCCTGCCATTCTAAGCCAGGCATCTGCCCTGGAGACACAGGAGCTCCCTCCACAGCCCTCCCCCCAAGCTCCGCCCCAGGAAGGCCCTCCATGGAGGGGGCTGCCCACCCAACAAGGGGTAACGTATGGAACTGGGTGGCGGTGTTTTAAATTGTTCCATTTACATGGAAATAGGGAGATGGTTTCTCGGAATAAACTGTCTTATTTGTGTTCAGCCCAGCTCCCTCCCAGGGAAACGGGGAGCAGTTTGGAGCCATCCTAGCACAGAACCCCCACTTTTCCCAAGGACTAGGGGACCCACCCATGCCCCTGGGGTGGTGACTTAGAAACAAATGCCCCTCACAACTCACTGTCAGGGTCAAGGCCATGCCAAGTGCTCAGCTGGGCTGTCTCCCCCACCTCCACTCCAGGGCAGCTGTGGGCAGGGCAGGGGCAGGGCAGCTGTGGGCAGGGCAGCTGTGGGCAGGGCATGGGCAGGGCATGGGCAGGAGCAGGGTCTTCACCTCTGTCTCCAGGAGTGACAGGAAGGGGGGAGCTCCACCCCCTCCACCCAAGGGGACTCTTTCCTGCTGAGGGCCCAGCAGTGGGCCCCCCTCGTGCTGAGATGCTGACTGTGGGCCATCTATTCCATGAGTGTTTCTATCCTAACAGGGTCCCCAGACACAGAACTGCCTCGAAACACCTCGGGCACCATCCCATGTGCCAGGGGAATGCATTTATGTTCAGGGCAGAAGTAGAATGTGGGGACCAGCTACGATGATAAGCACTATCAGTCCTGCCCTGTTCGCTGACGGTTCTGTTCTGGTTTGAAAGCGCTTCTCACCTGGCTGGGAGCCGCAGGCCCTGGGACATGGCGCTCACATCGGAACACGGTCCATCCTCCTTCAGAGCCGCCTGTCATTGTGGAGAGATTGACACCCTCGGGGCTGAGACAATCCAGTCCTGGAGGCACCTGCTCCTTACAACCCCAGCCCCTATGGCCTGGGGTCTGGGCCCGGGGCGCCCGCCCTCTGCGACCCCCCAGCCCCGGTGACTGGTAACCTGTGATGATTACCCGTGCCCACTTCCCCTGCCTGTAATTCCTATTTCCCACGGCATCTCTGTCCTTCTACCCAATACAGCAGCGGCTTGGGGGGGCGGGGGCAGCTTTCTGTGGGTGACCTGCTGCTTTCCCATGCTGTCTGCAGGATTGGAACACATGCTCATAGGATTCACCTGTTTGCTGAATTGGCTCGAGTGACAGGCGGCCCTGGCTGTCTGGTTACATTTAGGGGAAAGAAGAAGGACCTCTGTACCTCC